AAAGAATAAGTTCTAAGGCATGATCTCACTTTCCTTAAGAATTCAAAATCCCACAGGATACAACAATGCTTAGAAACTCTCATAGGATTAGATGTAGAACATGAACTTCTACTAAGGAACTTATGCTGGATGAATAGACGCCAGTTTGAAGAGACATATTTCTCTAGAAAGACACCAACCAAAGGGATGTGTCCTCACAAAAAGACCTCATTATGAAAATGTGTCTTTTAGCTACCAAAAATAATGTCTAAATTTCAAATGTGTCTCTCCAATTTTAAAAAGTTAAATTAAATTAAAAATAAGTTTCTTTTGGCAAGTTAAAGCCCTAAGATGCCCTAAGTGCCCATGTAAATGATAATATATAAAGAGGCAAGGCCTAAACCCAAAACTCACAAGCCTTGAATTACAACTTTCCATAATTATTTATGAACATAGTAAACATATATAAATCTCTTTATTTCCTTATTCTTCTCAAATGTGGAACTTTTACTTTTCAAACTATTCAACACTAGGTTCATAAAAGCCTAAATTTATGGGTTTTGAAACCAACAATTCTACGTTCTTACAAATCTGTTCTTGAAATCCCTCCCTTTTACCTTCTTCGATCATCCATTCCCTTCTTTCTTCCCCTCTCCTCTACACTCCCTTTCATCAAACCGAATAGATTTAGATTTATGAACCCACTCGGATCTAGGTTCATATGGAACCTAGCTAGATGAATTGGATTCAAATGAATTCAAATTTGAGTTCACATGTACCTAAATGAATTTGGGTTTGAATTAGGTTTGCGGAAACCTAGATTTTTGGGTTTTTGAACTTAGATTTTTAAGTTTATGAAATCCAAATGTATGGGTTCATTTGAACCTAGATTTTGGGTTTTACAAAAACTACATTCATTTCTTTACCATTGTCGAAGAAGAACTTTGCAAAATCGAATTCATTGTTTTGTTTGAATTTTGAAATGAGATTTTTCGATTTTGTTTGTTTGGATTCTCTGGTTTTCCCTTAAATTATATTGTATATTACACCATGCTTTTGGAATCATTATAGAAATTTTCTGCCAGAGAAGTGGTAAAAAGAAGAGAACACCAATTTTTTTTTTTTTGGTTGAACACCTGTGTTAAAATTAATAATGAGTTTGTTACAAATAGGTTTAGCATAATGTCTATCAAAAGTGGCCAAACACCTAT